TGCCACCTTTTTCCATGTCTCACCTGGGAGATGCTACTCTGCTTCCTCCACCTGGCGGAAAACAGCTCGGATGGCCATGCAGAGAGGGGAGCGCGGCCCGCTAGCACCCGGGATTCGGGCACTGCCCTTCTCACCTCGTGGCCGTCTGGATCCGTCTCTTTGGGAAGCAGCAAGACAGACTCGGTGCTGGAAAATTAGGTTTTCTTAGGGCTTCTGCCCATTCTCCATGGGAGGTTGACGGTGACTCTTGCCCGCTCCTCAAAGAGCCGGCACGCAGGTCCTGGCTGCCCGGCTCCGGGGAAGGGCAGAAGGTGCCAGGGGAAGTCCTGGCTGTGCAAGTCGAGGACCAACCAGCCCATCGCCCTCTCGAGCAGGGCGGGCAGAAAGGGTCTGTGCTGCACGCGCCCGTTCCCGTGCTGGGCGAGAAGGATCCCACGCTCATCTGCAACCTGAGCGATCAAAAGCAGGACTCACTGCCGGCGGGGCGTGAAGTGCTCCCTCACGAACCAGTTGAGAGCGAGACGGGCGCGCAGAAGGGACTTCATCCCATCTGCCCGCCTGCGCCGGCAAGAGGGGACACCCAAGGCCAAAGCGGCCGTCAGAGGGTCCTTTATCATGAGCGGAGAAGGAGGAGGAGAAAGAGGGTGGATGAAGGCTCTGCGCAACCTGATGTAACAGGCAGGTCAGCCCTCCTTCGAGGGGGGTTGGACCAGATGTCCTGCTGACATCCCTTCCTGCCTCCATCGCTCCGTTAAGCTGCGAGCTCTCTACCTCTTTCTCTCCGCAAAGGCAACTTGCACAGGTAGCTCACGTTCAAGCCGAGAGATGAATCCCAGCCTGAATCGCTTACACATTGGTTTCATGAAAAACTTTGGGCAGAAGAGATGCTGGCTGAGCCATAGCTTTGCCTTTTAGCTGGAGGCAGCTCAGTTTTGTTAGTGCCAGAGACGGAGACCGCTGTGCACGCTGGAAGCTTCTTGGGGAGCGAGCGTTCCCCGGAGAAGATCTGGGGCGGAGGAGGTGTGAGCGCTGAATCACTCCTGGCTGGTTCAGTGCAAACACGACACCACCGCAGAATTAACAGGGTTTCTGCTGCCTCCAAACTGCGGGATTTTTAAGAATCATTTTCCCCATTTTCTTGCCATTTATTACTTAAAAGACAGGCGACTTCACAGGTTGTACTTTTTGCTACAAATGAAGATGGATTCTAAAATCCCGCAGATGCAAACAAGGAGCCAGAGCACTTCAGTGCCGATACAGAGCTGCGCTTCGGCTCCTTGATGAGATTTCTATTTCCTGAGACTTCTAACACGATGGATGGACATCATGGGTCACTCGGCGAGTAGGGGCCTTATAAAGGAGGCAAAAAAGGTATTACATGCAAGAGGAGCTGATTCAACTTGAGGCCTGTTACCCCAGAGAAACCGGCACAGAACATCAGTCAGAGATGTCTGTTCTGCAGAGAGAATTTATCAATTAAATGGCAACAGCGGGGGGTTTTACTGCTGACAAAACACTGCTGTCACCTTACCCTCAGCACATCCAGCACACGCCAGAGACAGAATGTATCCAAGCCCTTTTCCTTGTGTTTCTTTTTTCTCCTCAACAGCTCTCTGGAAACCAGATCTCCTCGGCTGTAAATATCGGAATCTCAGTCCCGAAACCCCTCAGCGACAGCACGGGGGCTGCTGCAGCAGCCCCTCTAGAACTCACGGGTCTGCAGATGATCTCTCCTTGTGTTGCCTTGGCTTTTCCCAGCCTATTTATTCAGCACCTTGCAAAGAGGCTCACGACACGAAGTCATTAAGACACACAGTGAGACCAATTACGAGTCAGAAAGAGAACCTGACTTTAACCATAATTTTATTAAGGCTTAAATGTCTATCAGCCAGACGGGAGCTGGTCCAGTCACACGACACAAACCGAGAGTGACACGTTGTGTAATGCAATGGCTTTTCTACAGAGTTTGTATGAGCAGAATGAGATCACTGCCAGTTACTCGCCTATTAACCACGGCCCCTCTTCACGTCTTACGGGACTTCGGCAGGATGAGGGATGCGCTCCTGCCGCGCTGCGTGGAGGAGGAGGGCAGAGGGGTGGGCAAGAGGAGAAGTCAGGTCGCTTGCACGTTGTCCATGACAAGGACTTTGCCTGGTCCGTGACCGAATGGCTGCTCATCAAATATTTAAATGGTTTGAACTCACAGGGAAGCTAAACTCACAGTCCAAAAGGCACCTATGCTAACCACTGAGCCACTGGGATTGTGGTAAGAGAGCAGGCGTGACGGGTGGAAAACAGTTTCGTATAAATACATATTCCTTGTTAAAGAAGCTATGGCTTTTATTACCCTCAGACCGCTTTGCTCTGGCACGATGCTCTAACCCCCCTCCCCCCGCTACTCTGTAAGCGCAAGAAGACCAAGTCCTCTCCACAATTACGGGTGCTCATCTGGCAAGCTCTCGAAAGGCCTTCGTCCTCGAACAATCAATACAGACAAATGGAATAGCAGCGGCTCCTGTTCTCGTCCTCCCGGCAGCCTCTGGTAGCCGAGGCCTTAAAAGTGAACCCTCCTCACGTCGTGAGTGGCGACCGACCTTTTGCAATTCACGCACAGTATCGATAAGGACTTCTGCTTCTCGGCTAAGCACGGGCGACACATGAGGTGGCCACAGGGAAGCTGGTAGACTGGCTCCGTTTTGAAGTAAGAGGAGAAAGTCTTGCAGCAGGAAGCGCATCCCTGGGTCTGGCTGCTCCTGCCATGCTCTGCAAAGACAACAGGAGAAACAGCTCGGTCAGCGGGCCGAGTCGACGCTACGGCAGCCCAAACCGAGCAGGACTTAAACGCGCCCCGTCCCGCTTACAAGCTGGGAACCTCGCTTTCAACAGATGTACGGCCGAGCTGTAGGCGCTCACATCTCTGCCGGCACAACGAGGAAGGCAACGCTCCGTCTTCTGAGGGTTTGTGCTCAGGAGGGGCTGCATCTAAGTGGCATTTGCACAGTCACGTTTCTTAATTGAGGACGGATGAGAGCAAAGGACTTTTCACTCTTACCGAGACTAAATCAGCCTCCCTATCTTTTTTCAACATTTGAATTAATCATTGACTCCTGCCTGCAAAGCTGTAGGTATCGCTTTGTATTCCTGTCGCACAGTACCTATAAAGGGCTACTCAGACAACTCCTAAATAGCAGCAATTTTAAAGGGGACAGTAAAAAGCTTAATAGCTTAATGTCACCGTGGAATAGCAAAAGCTATTCAGAGAAAGACACAGTCACTGGGAGCCGCACACCCACAGCCCTTTCTCAGGGACACCTGGTTCCTCTGAACCCACTCGGGTACTCCCAAATACACTTCTCCCACGAACAGGCAGATCCTCGCTCAGTGGAAGAGCAAGCCAGCAGTTAGGGTATCGGCTTGCAGAGGGACATAAAAA